CTGTGGCCTGGAGCTCCTCCAGCTGGTGCACCAGAGACCTCTAAAGGGAGCAGACCCTGCAAGGGGAGGTGGCCGTGCTCCTGGGTCCCAGAGCCTGAAAAAGGGACAGGCAGCCCTCGCAGCCAAGAGCTAGGGGCTCCATCTGTGTGGAGCCTGGAACCACAGGCTCCATCTGGGTGGCTGTCTCTGAGGTGCCTGATGGGGGAGTCACAGAGCCCAAGGGGACCCTCGGGTTGCGGCGTGTGCCCATCCGTGTCATGCCTCTGATAGGCTGGCTACGGTTGAGACTGACTACCCTGGGAGGTTCACAGGCAGGGTCTTGGGCCCTCCCGCCCCCCCTCCTGTGCAAACTCCGCGGTAACTCACGCACCGGCAGACAGCGCACCTGTTTGTACAGCCTGTTTGCATGGCTCCCTGGGGGGCTGGGCAAAGTAGGGGCCTGGGTGGGGGCTTGACCCAGCCCGGCTCCATGCAGCTGCCTTGTCCCAGTCAGAGAGGGGTTAACCCCTTCCCACCATGAGCCCCAATTGCCTCCGGCTGTTCTGGAGGTTGGCAGGGGGCTCTGCAGCTGCTGGGGGGTATCTGAGGTGTCTGGGGGGCTTCGGGGGAGTGGGGGCATGGCAGGCTTTCACCCGCGCGTCTCTCACCCCTCTGGAACCTAACTGGGCTTTTTTGCTGTTTGGCGGGCCCTTTTAAACTGTGTGCATGCGCAGTGGGCCTGCCGTCAGGGAAAGCTGTTCTCGGGCAAGGGGGAGCCCTGCCCGGGATCTGGGGGGCCCTGCCCTACTGGAGGGGGACTGGTGAGTACCCCCTCTTTCTTTTCTTTCTCCCTGGGGGACTGGGCCAAGTAGGGGCCTGGGCTTGATCCGGCCGGCTCCACGCAGCCGTCTCCTCCCAGTCAGAGAGGGGTTAACTCCTTCCCACCACAACTTAAATATTTCTGACTTAAAAATTTCTTACTTCACAGTTAGGGCTGCTAGGAGCTGGAACCAACTTCCAAGGGAAGTGGTGCTGGCCCCTACCCTGGGGGTCTTTAAGAAGAGGCTGGATGCCTACCTGGCTGGACTCATTTGAGTCCCGTTTTTGTTTTGGGGTTTTGTTGTTCTCCCGCCCTGGCGGGGGGTCGGGCTAGAAGATCTACTAGGTCCCTTCCGACCCTAAATCTATGAAACTATGAAAAAAATAATAAATTGGTGTTATGCCAAAGAAGCAGTAGAATATATGTAGGAAATTAAAAATCACAACTATGTTTACTTTAAAAAAATACTGAGGAAAATCTTCCTCCTGCCTTCCTCAAGAGTAGTTTGAGAACTCATTGGCCATTTATGATTTACCTGCACTAAAGAAACTGTGTTAGCACATTTCTAAAACAATGGAAGGCACTATCTTGTCTGGTTTTCATTGGGAGCATGAACAGGATTGTCACCACAAAAACAGATGACAATTGGTGCTATTTTATTATATCTGAATGGAATAATTTCATTGTTATGGGAACTGGATACCTTTATACATATAGCAATGGACTGATGATTCAAACCACTCATGATTTAAGCAGTGCACTCACCCCTTTGAGGGGAGTGAACTGCTGATGACGGAAAGGAATTTAAATAATATAGCATTTCTGCTTGTTACATGTGTAATACAATTCCAAAATATTCTCCCTTATAGTAGTCAAAGATGATTCTACATACAAGTAGTTTGGATGGATAGTGCCAAATTCCAGCCCTTGCTCACGTCCCTTTGCGCTGCTTCACCAGTGCAAAAGTAATTGTGTAGGGGACTGTTGGAATGCTATAGATGAAGTTGTTTCTACACTAGCCCGTCCTCAGTCCCCAAGTCAGAAGCATGTCATGAGTATGTCACAGTAGAAGTAGGAATGAATAGAATATACTGAACTCCAGACAAGAGGGCTAGATATTAGCCTCTAGGGGTGCATCCGAAAGAGTGCACATGTGCCTCTTGAAGCATCTCAAAGAAGTCTGACACGCTACAAGATGCATGCTAGGAAAAAATGTTCCCTGCTCTGCATATTTGCAGCATAGGCTCAAGATTTGATACCTGGATGTCCAAGTATCAAAAATAAAATCTGGAGGAAAAAAGCAGGGCAAAGCACAGTCTCTGACCGTGCCCTAAAGTAACCTGGGAGCTGGTACTTCAGAGAGATGTTCTGGTTTCTGGCCAGAGTGTCTCTATGGTACTCCTGCTGCCCCAGCATGCAGGGCAAGAACCCTTAGAATGCTGGGGCAAGCAGAAGCACATCAACGATTGGGACCCAGGCGCTGTCATGGGTAAGTAGGAAAGTGGGAGTCGGGGGGCTTATGGGTGTGAGTAGTGACGGGGGGTGGGGGGCTGTGAAGAGTGGCAGGGGGGTGTCAGGGGGGGGG